TCCTAGGTTTCAAAGCGCGTAGAATTTAATGGTGAAAACCAATTTCCATAAAAATGAGTTTTAATTATTAATTTTTTTTTCTACTCATTTTTTCCATTAATTGTATGCATACATGTTTTTACCGTATTTTTCATGTTTTTTTGAAATTTTAAATTTATTTCCTAGGTTTTAATGTGCGTAGAATTTAATTGTGCAATCCAATTTTTTTAAAACTCAACGGTTCATTTTTAATACTGAAATTAGACCCATTTTTTCACTTAATTTTTTACAGCTTAATTTTCATCATTTTTTGACATTTTAAATTTATTTCCTACACTTTAAGACATGTAGAAAATTATGGTATCAACCATTTTTCCCCAAGTTGAAAACTATACCTTGAATGCTGCATTTGACAAGTTTTTTTCAATTAATTCCTCACTTTTTCACCTAATTGTTTGCATACATGTGTGTACCTTATTTTTTATGCTTTTTTGAAGTTTTAAAGTTGCTTCCTACATTTAAAAGTGTGTAGAATTTGATGGTAACATCCAATTTTCTTAAAACTCAATGGTTCATTCTGAATACTGTAATTAGTCATATTTTTCAATTGATTTTTAAGAGCTTAATTTTCATTATTTTTTGACATTTTAAATTTTTTTCCTACACTTTAAGACATGTTGAAAACGATGGTAACAATCACTTTGCATCAAAATAAAAACTGTATCTTGAATAATGCCTTTGACAGGTTTTTTTAATTAATTCTTACATGCTTAATTATCCTTATTTTTTGGAATTTGAAGTTCATTTCCTACACTTTGAAAGGTTTCAAAATTGCTGGCTGTATCCATTTTGCATTCAAATAAAATTTGTATACGTTACAAATTGTGCAAGAAACGGGGTGCACTCATGTATTAAGATTGAAGCTTGTATTTTTAGGTAAATTGGACTTCACCATTCAATTTTAAACATTTTTAAATGGAGGAAATGAATTTAAAATTTCAAAAAATGATTAAAAACCAGCCGATAACAAGCAATTAACAAAACATTAAAAAAAACATGCCCAACGCAGTATTCAATAACATTCTTTGGTTTTTATGCAAAATGATAGTTACCATCATTTTGAACATGTCTTAAAGTGTGGGAAATAAATTTGAAATGTCAAAAAAGAATGAAAATTAGGCTTCAAAAATTTAAGTAGAAAAATGAGTGTAATTTGAGTATTAAAAGTGAACCGTTGAGTTTGAAAAAAATTGGACTGCGCCATTAAATTCTGCGCACATTAAAACCTAGGAATAAATTTAAAATTTCAAAAAAACATGAAAAATAAGGTAAAAACATGTATGCATACAATTAATGGAAAAAATGAGTAGAAAAAAAAATTATAATTAAAACTCATTTTTATGGAAATTGGTTTTCACCATTAAATTCTACGCGCTTTGAAACCTAGGAAACAATTTTAAAAATTCAAAAAAACTCGAAAAATAAGCCGTAAAAAATTAATTAAAAAACCGCGTCTAAAAGCGGAAACCGCGTGTGCTGCGGCGCATCAAAACCGCGTCAAAACACGGAAAAACCGCGTTTTTTTATTAAGGCCCAATAAAAAAACGCGGGTTTTCCGCGTTTTGACGCGGTTTTAATGCGCCGCAGCACACGCGGTTTCGTAATTAATTTTTTATGGGTTATTTTTTGACTTTTTTTGAATTTTTAAAGTTGTTTCCTACACCATAAAAGGCGTAGAATTTAATGGTAAAAACCATTTTTCATAAAAATGAATTTTGATTATTAATTATTTTTTTTCACTCATTTCTCAATTAATTGTTTGCATGCATGTATGTACCTTATTTTTTATGCTTTTGTGAAATTTTAAAATTATTTCCTAGGTTTCAATGTGTGTAGAATTTAATGGTGCAATCCAATTTTTTTAAAACTCAACGGTTCATTTTTAATACTGAAATTAGACCCATTTTTTCACTTAATTGTTTACAGCTTAATTCTCATCATTTTTTGACATTTTAAATTTATTTCCCACACTTTAAGACATGTAGAAAATGATGGTATCAACCATTTTTCCCCAAGTTGAAAACTATACCTTGAATGCTGCATTTGACACGTTTTTTTAATTAATTCCTCACTTTTTCACCTAATTGTTTGCATACATGTGTGTACCTTATTTTCTATGCTTTTTTGAAATTTTAAAGTTGTTTCCTACATTCAAAAGTGTGTAAAATTTAATGGTAACATTCAATTCCCATAAAACTCAACGGTTCATTCTGGATACTGTAATTAGTCATATTTTTCAATTGATTTTTAAGAGCTTAATTTTCATTATTTTTTGACATTTTAAATTTGTTTCCTACACTTTCAAACATGTATAAAATTATGGCAACAATGAATTTTCATCAAAATGAAAACTATATCTTGAATAATGCCTTTGACGTGTTTCCTGAATTAATTCTTACACGCTCAATTATCCTTATTTTTTGGAATTTCAAGCTCATTTCCTACACTTTTCAAGGTTTCAGAATTGATGGCTGTATCCATTTTGCATTCAAATAAAATTTGTATATGGTACAAATTATGCAAGAAACAGGGTACGCTCATCTATTAAGATTGAAGCTTGTATTTTGAGTGAATTTGGACTTCGCCATTCAATTCTAAACATTTGTAAATGTAGGAAATAAATTTAAAATAAAAAAAAATGCTTAAAATCAGGCCGGTAAAAATCAATCAAAAAAACATTAAAAAAAGCCTGTCCACTGCAGTATTCAGTAACAAGCGCTGATTTTTATGTAAAATGGTTGTTACAATCATTTTTATCATGTATTAAAGTGTGGGAAATAAGCTTAAAATGTCAAAAAATAGTGAGAAATAACATGTAAAGAATTAATTGAAAAAAGTGTCTAGTTTCAGTATTAAAAATGAACTGTTGAGTTTTAAGAAAATTGGATGTTACCATTAAATTCTAAACACTTTTAAATGTATGAAAAAACTTTAAAATTTAAAAAAAGCATAGAAAATAAGGTACACACATGTATGCAAACAATTAAGTGAAAAAGTGAAGAATTAGTTGAAAAAATGGTGTCAAATGCAGTATTCAAGATGTAGTTTTCATTTTAATGCAAAATGAATTTTACCATAATTTTTTACATGTCTTAGAGTGTAGGAAAAAAATTTAAAATGTCAAAAAAGAATGAAAATTAACCTGTAGAAATTTAAGTGAAAAAATGTGTCTAATTTCAGTATTAAAAATGAACCGTTGAGTTTTAAAAAAATTGGATTGCACCATTAAATTCTAAACACATTGAAACCTAGGAAATAATTTTAAAATTTCACAAAAGCATAAAAAATAAGGTACATACATGTATGCAAACAATTAATTGAGAAATGAGTGAAAAAAAAATAATTAATAATCAAAATTCATTTTTATGAAAAATGGTTTTTACCATTAAATTCTACGCCTTTTATGGTGTAGGAAACAACTTTAAAAATTCAAAAAAAGTCAAAAAATAACCCATAAAAAATTAATTACGAAACCGCGTCTAAAAGCGGAAACCGCGTGTGCTGCGGCGCATCAAAACCGCGTCAAAACGCGGAAAAACCGCGTTTTTTTATTAAGGCCCAAAAAAAAGAGGAAAAAAAAAACATTATTGACCCTGCAAGCAGTGTCAATTTTTGTCGTCCTCCATTGTTTTTTTGGTTTGGTGAGTCTGACTCTGGCTCTGGGGCCGGGCCGCAGGTCGGAGTAGGTCGGAGTCCATCCTCCGGACCTCCCTCCACAAAATACATGGCGGGTATACCCTCGGTTTGGAGGGAATACCCGTGTCCAAAACAGCCCCGCGGGAAAAAAAATTCCCTTGCCCCGTTCCCGATACCCGAGGGAAGGGCACGGTCACCTCTTTTTACCTTCCCGGCTGAAGGGTATTCCCTCGGGTCGGGGTGCCGGGCGGCCTCAGAGGTGCCGGGTACCCCGCGGGATCCAGCGCTATTGTCTACTGCAATGAATTGGCCACTAAGTTCTCTCTTTTCTTTTTCGAACCTTAAAAGCTGGCGAGGATCACACTGAGGCTGAGTTCAGGGCCCGGAATGCTAAGGAAAGTAAAAGCTTTGCGCTGAACCAGAGGATGAATGTCGGTGCAGCGGAAAATGTTAGGAACAGTGATATTTTCGACTGGTCCGGACAATCAGGAAAGGGTAAGTCAACAGCAAGTGCTGAGGATTGGAATGTATAGCAAGTAACCTTGGATCAGATTGCTGAACCCTAGGCTCATGAAGGTGCCTCGCGGAGTGGTGAGATGATGACTTTTTTAAAAGATTTGTCGAATCACTATTGGTGACTTGTCAACTTTCTCAAAGCAAAAAATTAGAAATCTGGCCGGAAACGTTTCCTCTTTTGCTAACCGTTATCAGAAAACAAAAGCTGCATTGATCTCGGTCGGATCAACTTTTCTTGCACCGGTGGTTTGCAAGCTCAGGCGAAAACACTGCAGAGTGATACTCAGCGCGACGGGATAGCCTATAAGCATCCAATAGCTGCTTTGTGTTGTAGTGGGAAATGGACTCGGCGGTCCATTTCCATCGTTGTTAGCTGTGGTTTACCATTCCCGGTGGTTTGACATTTCCAAATCCAATCCTTCATCACCACCAACACGAGGACGGAAAAGTGTTGCAACCCGGCTGAGCCCTTCGTGATATAAGGTCTACAAAAGGAGGCCATCGAGCCTCGCCATTTGCCCTCTCCACCTGCCAGCTCCATCCCCACAATTGTCCCACCGCCCACGCATCCTACCTGCAACTCCCCACACAACCATACCGACCCAACATCCCGAACCTAGTCATGTCTATCCCTGAGACCGCCACTGGTAAATGTTTTTCCCTTAAACCTCTTCTCTGCCTCTCACAGCCATATGATGTGACACGCGCACCACAACTGACTCTTTTTTTTTTCTTCTTTTTTTCTCTTCCTCGCTCATCGTGCAGCTCTCGCCGAGGCGTTGCGCAAGTTGGCAGCGGATTCCTATAACATGCAAGATGAACACATTATCGTACAGAAGAACGAAGAAGTGCCATCAGAGGAAGATGTCAAGACCCACAAAGACCTCCTCAATCAAGTCAAAACCACTTTACTGCCTGAGACGCGTAGCCTACTCATTTCATTGCAGGAGGCTTTAGACTTATTTCCTGAGTCGACTGCCCCCAAGCCCAAGCTCGATGAAGCCTTGGACGTTGTTTCTAGGTTCCACACTGTCTTAACCAACCTCAATATTGCCGTCCACACCATTTCTCCTCAAATTATCGCCCTTGGGCGCAAGTCCAGTCGGATCGATCAAACTTATGGTGTCTTGAAGAGATTCAGAACTTACATCTTAGAGATGGATGCTAGGGAGATAACGTCCGAATTTCTCAGTGACTTATTCACTGAACTTTCTGAGTTTGTTTCTAGCGGCCAATATGCCCAAGGTAGTTCAGAATACCCCGATGAGGAGGAATATGCCACGCTCATCTTGAACCGCCGTACCCAACTGCTCGCGGCCGTAGACAAGTCCCAACGCAAAATCGACGAGGCCCTCGAGCTCATCGACCGTTCCGATTTTGATATCCTCCGATATATCTGGAACGAATACGAACAAGAGCTTGGTGATTACCTCACCAAGATTGCCCAGAAAATCCACGATGCAAAAGACGTCGACATTCCCCCCGCCGACCAACCTCTTAACTTGAGGCCTCGTATCATTCAGCTCTTGCCACAAGTCATCCCCTTCGTCAAATTATGTAGAGTCTTCTACAAAAGGATCGGCTCCGCACCCCCGGCCTTCACATTCGGTGAAGAGTTGTCTTCAGCTGATCTCGAAAGCATTCGACTTGGCGCAGGTAAGATCAATAACTCTCTCATCTATGCCCTCGACACATTGTTCTCTGCCTACAGCAACCCACGAGGACAACGAACCAGTTCAGCCTCATCCCACTTCGATGCAGTCAAGAAGGCTATGGACAGTACATTGGAGTTCATTGCCTCTCACATGGTCCCTTCTGATCCCGCTCGTACGGTTGATGATGTGATGAACGAATTTTTTGGCACTTTGAAACCCCAATTCGATGCCCTACATGAAAGGTTTTCGGCTGCTTTGACCCAGTTCCAACAGGAAAATGAAAGACTGGGTAATCTGGCTGGCAACGGTAATTAGTCTTAGAATCATGTCGGGGTTTTGGCCCATTCCATGTACATTCTTCTGCACCCGTTCATCGGGGGGCTCGTTGTTATCCTTCTTACACACTTGTAGATTTTTCTGTGTGATGATTTCTTTTGACCCTAACAGCAATTTATAAATCATGATTCAAGGGTTAGCAACAAATTGAACATTAACACAAATGTGTAGTTATGATTCGATGGATACATAGCTCACACAATGACTCAGGTGCCATTCTACCCTCTTTGGATGATATTTCACCATTTTTAGGTGTTTATTTATTCTAAGTCACCACTCTAGTCTTCATAAAAAACATTAGGGTTATCATGTAATTGTCTTTTGTTAAGAATATTTAATATGGCTCCATAATGTTTTCACTCAAGTTTGATTAAGCTGGAGTCCTGGTCTCAAATTATGAAGGTCCAAGTCTGAGTTTTTTGGGCCCTGCAATGAAAAAATAGATCAGTTGGTTTTACTGTATAGCCAATCAAAACTCATCACGGAAAAGTTACTTCCAATTCCTAGTCACATCCCCATTGTTCCATTTTTGGATGTGCTTCCACGACTTTTTTTCGCTTGCTTTTTATCTGCTCATGTGCACACAGGTTGTCTTCTTGTGGCCCCATTTTGATCTTACTGAAATGGATGAGTAGTGAGTCTCTTGATTACTGTTATTTTGCAGATCGATCAAGTGACATCATGAGTCTGGCTTGGCAGTCTCCGGCTGGATAGGGTATTACGTAATCGGGGTTTTTTGGTTTCAGGCCGCGCGTCCCTCTTCACTGTATAAGCCTGTGGTCGGTTTCCTGTTGACCATCCTTCATCATCAACCACCCCCTCACACTTCTACCCAACCAAACATCAGTCCAGAAAACATATACAACTAAAGAAACCAGACAAACAGACAGACAAGCATGTCCGACCAACCTCCTCCTCCTCAAGAAAACCAACCGAGCTCATCAAAACCCAGCGCAGATTCGAATAACCCACAACCATCTTCCTCATCCAACAGCAAGGAGTCTACCTCTGAGGATGTCAAAATGGATGCCGAGCCAGAGGTACAACATTCTGCCTTCAACATGTTTGATTAGTAGCTTGACTGACCAATCTAATTGTTCTTTTTTCGGTGGCGCAGCTTGATCCCGAAATCTTGAAAGCCTCTCCGGAAGAAATTATGACCAGGACTAGGCTGTTAGAAAATGAGATCAAGGTAAGCCATTCTCTCAGAGATGTCTGGCTGAACCTTGCTGTTAAGATAGAATTGATGATCATATTTATACTTTGACTGATTAGATTATGAGGTCCGAAAACCTGACGTTATCACATGAAGCGACGATGATGTTAGACAAGATCAAAGACAATACAGATAAGATCAAGAACAACAAACAGCTCCCGTTCCTAGTAGCCAACGTAGTCGAAATCCTAGACATCGATCCAGATGTCCATGAGAGTGAGGAGGGAGCCCAAGTTGATTTAGATTCAGTCCGCAAGGGGAAATGTGCGGTGATCAAAACCTCAACACGACAGACGATCTTCTTACCCTTAATCGGTCTGGTGGATGCCGATAAACTCAGGCCGGGTGATCTGATCGGTGTGAATAAGGACAGCTATCTCGTCTTGGATACTCTCCCAGCTGAATACGATTCCAGAGTGAAGGCCATGGAAGTCGACGAACGTCCGACTGAAACGTATACGGATATCGGTGGACTCGATAAGCAGATCGAAGAACTCGTCGAGGCTGTCGTCCTACCCATGCAACAAGCCGATAAGTTCAAAACGCTCGGCATCAAACCTCCTAAAGGTGTCTTGATGTATGGACCCCCTGGTAAGAGATCCGCTGACATACTTTTCTTGGCTTTGTTTTCGTGCTGAGTTGATTTTCCTGGATTGACATTTGAAAACAGGTACTGGTAAAACCTTATTGGCTAGAGCTTGTGCGGCCCAGACCAAAGCATGTTACATGAAACTAGCTGGCCCATCGCTAGTACAAGTGAGTTGATTGACGGAAACGGTTCAATACACTATGGGAAGACTAACGAGTGGTAATCTCAGATGTTCATTGGGGACGGTGCTAAATTAGTGCGGGATGCATTCGAACTGGCCAAGGAGAAGGCGCCGGCAATAATCTTTATTGATGAGTTGGATGCAATCGGGACGAAGCGGTTCGACAGTGAGAAATCGGGTGATCGAGAGGTCCAGCGAACGATGTTGGAGCTCCTCAACCAACTGGATGGGTTCGGTAGTGATGATCGGATCAAAGTAATCTCCCCCCACCCGAGAAGACTTATACCTTTCTATATCATGATCTGATGGCTGATCTCTCCAAGCGGTGTCTATCTTGTAGGTGATTGCAGCGACCAATCGGATTGACATACTTGATCCTGCGTTGCTTCGATCGGGTCGTTTGGACCGAAAGATCGAATTCCCCTTGCCGACTGAAGACGCCCGGGCACGGATCATCGAGGTAAATTGACCAACGATCTCCTCCAGAGTTTGACCTGAATTTTTTTTTTTTGATATATTCTTGTGATCTTAAGATTCATTCCAGGAAGATGAATGTGGGTAAAGGAGTGAACTTTGAAGAGCTGGCACGATCGACAGACGAGTTCAATGCCGCCCAACTACGCGCAGTGGCGGTCGAGGCTGGGATGATTGCCCTAAGAGAAGGGGCAAATGAGATTCATCATGAACACTTCTTGTCGGGGATCTTGGAAGTTCAAAGTAAAAAGAAAAACGACCGTATGTCTTCCTCATTTCATATCTCTTCATCTGCTTCTTTGTTCTTTAACTGATCAACTCCATTCACCTCCTTCTCGTCCTCACTAATCTTCTCTAGAATTTTACTTTGCTTGAGTTTCTCCTTGTTTTCCTCTCACTGTGGGATAATATATATTTTTTTGTGTGTGTCTTATAAAGAGCCTTCTCCTTCTTAATACTCTTCCTTGTTTTTTTGTTCTTCTGGTAATCTACATATCTCTTGTTTTTTTTTTCTTGATCGGGCATGGGAGCGGAGAGTAGTAGTCCCTATAGTCCATTCAAGCGACTGTCCCAAAATAACACTTCATGGTGGTGGTGTTTGCTGGGCGTAAAGTCTGGCTTGAATACACGCTCTAACAATTAGTGAATTACTCTTTTCTCTTTCTGTTTCTTTTTTTTTTGGAGGAGGGGTCTTCTACTTAATCTCATGTTGTCAACTCAAGAAAAAAAAAGCATTTAACCAAGGTGATCAAGAAATCACTCTTTCTCCCGTATCATGATAAGTTTAAGTCTGCCTTTTTGTTTTTGGGTGTGGCCTTGGGCCCCGAGAGACGAGGAGGGACCAGTATGAGGTCTATGACTCAATAATTGGAGGGGTTTTAGGTATATGGGGGCGTGACTGGGTCCATGTCCAATATTTGATGGCTTGGAAATTTGCCAGGAGTGAGCTCCTCTTGAACAATAAACTCAACCAGAATTGTTTGTGATCATTTCTGACAAGACGGGATATAAAGAATCAATTCAGAATAAATAATACAAAACAAAACCAGGATTGCCAAATTTGAATGAGTATCAAAAGAAAACACGGATAAGTATAACATATCTGTCACTTTTACCCGCAAGGGTAAGCACTAAATATCTGTTACAAGTCGCTGAGTTCGAGGTATATTCAAGGGGGAAAAATTAACGCATTGGAGATGCTACCAAGAGAAAATAATTCAAAAACAAGAATTCTACGACATTTGGTACTGTCTCAACAATCAGCATGTATGGGTGTATTCTGGATTGATTGATGGGTATAAAACGTTTAAGAAGTGTCTCAATCAATCTCCCTCTGCTTGATAATTAGGATATTGTTTTCAACCGCAATATGATTTCCCAGGGCAAAGAGCGCTTGAACCATCTGTTTACAGGATTTTGAGGAATAGAAACAGTCAGTATAACAAGGTAAAAATAGGTGGACAAGCTGATCCTATGATTTACATTTCTTGCCTCCAATCCCTGCTACTGAAAACAAGGCATTCAGCACACCGCCCAGACCCTCTCCTGACATCAATCCAGCTGCAAGGGAATATGCATAGACTGTTATCATGAAACAAAGGTTACAGATGAGCAAGTCCAACAAGTATCAAAAGTAAAACCAATCCGGATAAGTTGTCGGAAGCTTACTGTCGTAGGTACGATTGAACTTTTTCTTCCAAAAGTAAGTGAGGATGGAAGCCAAAGCCATTGCACTGGCATAGCCCGTAAAATTCACGACAAATCCGAGTCCGACGGCGTTCATGTTGGGGATGAATTTCCGCTTGCTTCGAGGGACGACTTTGTATTTGACGACTGTCAGAATCATGCCGACTACGGAGATGACGACAGCAAAGATGGCCGACGACTTGGGGATGGGTAGGTCTCCTTTAGCTGTCACTGCTGTTGCTACTGCTCTCCATGCTCCAACTGAAGGCACCCCAAATTCACACGTCTTGGCTTCCAAATCGATGATACATGGATACGCCTGATCAAAGGCCTCGTCAGGAAGTTGCTCCAAACTGTCGAGTTTGAAGAAAAATCGATATGAATGGGTGACTCACTTGGCTGAATAAAACAAACAGTGAGGGTGCAAGAACTATGGCAAAGAATGATCCGACAAATTGACTGTAGAATTGGTTTGCTGGACTGGCGCCCAGTAGATGTCCGGCTCGTAGATCACCAACCATATCCGTGGTCTGGTTCGCAGCAGCCCCTGCAATCATACCTGGAAAGGGCAGAAAACAGTTCAGCTTGTGTATTCAACTTTTTCAAAGACTTTGTTAAAGACATTGAACACTTCTTACCCGATAGAAGATTGACTGTGAGAGCATGTTTAGGAATTGCATACGTATGTGTGGCACCACCAATGATGAGCTGAGAAGCTTTTGCACAAGTACTGTGAAGTATAGAAGAAACCCCAAAATCAGAGTGATGCCAAATAATTTTGTCTTTATCAAATGAATTGGGGAGACTGACCTGATTGGGTTGATGTCTGTGTCACCACAAGATTGGACACCGATAAACGAAAATAAGAATCCCAGAAGAATCGCCAAAAGGGTGATTCCTAGTTGAACTTGAAACTAGTAATCAGATTTCAGCTAGATATTCATCCCTCATCGAGTTCCGGATATATATATATATACTGACTTTGAGCTTCATGACCAGACAGGTCAAGATGATTGACAGGACAAGAAGTGACCCCCAGGCGACTGGCGGCACAAGGTTTCCAGCAGCAGGATCCTTCAATGTGTCTTGATCGTCAGGCGAGGCGTTGTCGGTTTTCTTCTTCAGATGAAAGACCGTATTGACAGCGGTCCGAGCGATTTCCCAGATCCCCATGACCATCTTCTTTCCATTCAAGCCCAACTCGGTAAAGGATGAGACGATTAAAAGTAAGACTCCCGGCCATAAAAGCCAATACCTTGCCGACGGATGTGTGGCGGTGGTAAACGATGAACTCAGTGATTGATAATCGTAAATTTCGGGATATACGTCCGGGAATCTTTGCGAGCCATATGCAATGTTTTTGGCAACTAGGATCGGTCCAATTATTCCCCAGGCAAGCAGTGAGCCAAGATAAAACGATAATGATGCATTGAGTCCGGTTAGAATTCCTACACCAAGGAAAGCTGGGGTAATTTCGAAGTACTAAAATTTAAATGAAAACGGACCGTCTGTCAGAGTAACTTATTTTTGGATGAGATAAAGATTGAATGGAATACTTGCCCATGTCCAATTATCGATCCCAACAGCTTGTTTGGCGCCTATTAATCAGGACGAGAACATGGTTAGATTGTGTCTAACAACTCATTTGAGCGAGTTTAATCAAGCAAACAAATCTTACCCATGAGATACAGCCACCATCCCCAGTGCCATTTCCATACGATTCCAGGAAGATACTGGCTCAAGACGCGCAGAGACATTGAGCCGGTGAATGCCAGACCCAAGCATCGAACTTGTTTCTTCCCCGTTTCTTCTCCCTCTGGTCCTGAATGAAGTCTTTGTATTGCGATGGCTGTTGCGGTGGGCGTTGGGAAGAGTAATTTCTGGCGTAAAACATAGCTGTCAAGATTATATTTCAATTATCAGTAATAGTGTTCGGAAGATCGTTGGTTTTCATCTCTTCTCAAAAACTCACTGTGTCCGTAAAGGGATGGCAAAGGCCATTCCGAAGAAAGCTCCAGCCATGGCAAACAGAATTAACTTGGCGATATCATCTGTAAAAATTTGCGAGGAAAAAAAAACTGTCAGATTGGTATTTCTCCTGAAGACTTATTCTTTATAGAAAAGCTACCTTTTGGATTGGGGGACAATAGTCCCAACTGATACATAGCAGGTACTCCGGTAGAAAACAAGATGCCTAATCCACCACTTGCAGTAGCTGCTGTTTGAACCGTACAATTTTCCTTGGGACCAAAGTAACCACCGAAGATTGGAAACTTTGACTTGGATAAAGGTTTCAAGAACGCGTAACCAAATAGTGCGCCGAAGAGAGATGCGCCGAAAGTGAAGCTATCAAATTTTCCCAATTTTAGTCAGTCGATCTCTCGATCAAAAAAAAAGCGAGATTCTCAGTGGATGGGGTCAGTTTACCCTGTCTTCAAGCCCAAATACATGTTACTTGCTTGAACCACTGATCCCAAAAGACAGCCCACTGCTACTGCTCGAAACGTGAATTGATTTCCTTCTTCTGGAAGGCCATCCGGCTGGGTAAAGGAAAGATGTTCCGAAATGTGAGTCCTTGGGCTTGCCGATCATGCATCTTTTTTCAGAGAGAAAATAGGGGGAAAAATGCACGATGGGAAGGGGATCACCACTTTTGACGTTGTATGGTATGATTGGTGGCTCCTCTGAAGCCGCCAGGATCGAGTATGCTTCATCGTCAGGAATCTCCTTCGCGCACTTCTCCGGATTTTCCGTCTTCTCCGTGTTGTTGTTGTCGATGCTTGAAGGATTGGGAGGTAGCATGATGGCTGCGCCTGGTGAATGAAGGAAAACACGAGAGTGAATAAACGAAGACGCGGGTAAAGGACTTTGACCAGGGCTTGAAGCGGTACGAATGGGGTATGCTGGCGAAATCGGCCGATGTGAACGGCACTCGAATAGTGCAAGTCGAAATCGCTCTCCCTGGGGCCGGTAGGGGAAGGGGTAAAGACGAGCGTCGTAGCGTCGTTGAAGCGTGGAGTTAAGAAGTACAGATGCTTTGACACCTGGCAGATCAAACAAGTCGGTTCGAGATTGTGCTTTATTATAGACTTTTGTGAACCCACTTGTTTGGTGTGTCAACAACAAGTGAGGGCGAATAACGTAACTTCTGGTTTCAGAGTCTGTATACACCCAGGTTTTAATGCATAAGAAATTATTTCTTCGTCAATGGTTTCTTTTGCAAAAGAACAGTTCCGAAAAAAAAAAAAAATTGTGGCCGTGAGCCAATTGCCAATTTGTATTCACTGCTCGCAGCTGTTGATGATAGCGGTGCTGCCAAATCATACATGAGCACGTGGTTATTAAGGAAGTACAGTCAGAGTCAGACCGACTTCCAATTAATGTAAGTATGTATGTATGTACTGAAAATATCGGAAAGTTGAAACCCCACATGAGGTGGCAGAATTAGGATTCCGATGGCGCCATAACGTACGCGAATTTGCAAAAGCGCGATCACGCTAACAACCAAATCCGTTTATCTGTTCCATGGCGTCTCGCTCAGTGGGCAACACATTCGTCGGGTAACTCCGCAACAAGATTCTCGACGACGGTGATACATAGACTGGGATAGACTCTCCTATGGAAAAATTGCCAGCCTCTGCATAGCACGTCAGGAGTTCGATCACTATATTCACTACTGAGCACTATTCACTACTGAGCACTATCGACACGTAGAAGGCATCCACAAACTTGGGCACACCTTTTGAAGCGGTGATTGAGAATTTGAGATCAGCCGCGCCCGGAGAGAACCGACAGAAGAGGAGTCGCATACATTTGATTCTCCTCGAGATAGACCCGCAGCTCCCACATGCTGAAGTCCAAGGAGAACTTCTCCAATCGTTACGATGCTAATATTTCCCTCTTCTATCTACAAAACCGCTCTAGTGGTGATTTGAAAGATTGAGCCCGCCACGTACTCTGAGTCCGACTACACTCTCCCATCACCAGTCCCTCTCTTCTCTCATTTCTTTCCATCTTATTTAGCCACAAGGGTGCGTCCCCTGGACTTGGGATTGTTCGTGGGTAAGAAATTCAAGACGATGTAGACACAGACGCGGTTGACTGCAAGCTTCGCACATGGACACCAGCTCAGGGTGCACAAATTTTCATGTTGATTTTGAATTATCGTACCTATCCATCAGCAAGCTCACGACGAGCCTCCCATGGTTCTTACAAGTCTAACTTATCACAAGTCCCTTGCCTGCAGTCAGTTTTTCTGCGTGCAGGGGGGGACTGGTGTATTATGTTAAGGCTCCGTTTGGCCGACCAAGATATCATATATCGATATTGAAGAATCTTGCAGATTATGCCGGGGGGGACGGGGATTATAACGCTGGTGAGAAGGCTGTTTGGCAGGTCACATCATAACAGCTCGTTCATCACGGAATATACTTTTTGCTTATATTCTCCAGCCAAGAGGAAATTCTGGACTGGACCAATATTTACCGTGATAACGGATTTGCATGGTTGTGTAATAATCGGATTAAGGTTGATAAATCTTAAATCCGATTATTAGGATTTGCGTATAACAATATATAACATTTTGGGCGGCCAAACGGAGCCTAAAATTTTGGCTGGGACAGGAAACATGAATGGCTGGAGTGAATTTTGTTACTTTCTCACTCCTTGTCCCAATGCTCCAGAACCCTGCCCCAGAGCCACATGAATATTTAGTGGGTGAGCTTTCATTTGGATGTGGTCTCATCTACTAATTTGTAATGGTTCTCCCTCCATAAATCTTTGAAAATAATAAAAGAGCATTCTCCTTCACTCAAAAACCAGATCCACCAAGATTGGCAAGGCAATCTGCCAAAGATTTGCTAGCCTGCCACCTTGCAGATTCAACAAGCATGATTTTGACTATGAGTCACACTCTCAGCACCCTTGGCAAATTTAGAAAATGTAATTATACACTTGGAAAATCTTTGGAAACTTTTTCAGAGGAATTTCTGAGCTAAGTTCAATAATTCTTGATTCCTACATCCCTTCAAATATATTTCTTCAGTCATTTTGGGTTGTTTCCCTTCAAATTTTTGACCAATGTCACTTGCCAAGGCAGCACAAAAAACTGTATATTCAGTCTTTCTTCAAATTGGGTGGTTCTTCTTTAAAAAATTATTCTGTGGATTTAGGCTTGAAAATCCTTCTTGTCCCAGCCAAATGTTTGACTTGATTCATAATAGAGATGTCACTTGGCACCCACCGGCAGGTACCTGCCACACTTTCAGAAGGTGCCCTGGGCACTTCCATCCACCATCTTTGAAGTTGGAGCATACAGAACTGTTTCTTGGACAGTAATACATCCTTCCAATGTACAGCTGGTGGCTGGAGGTGTCCATGTAATTGTTTGAAGTTGTGGCAGGTACCTGTTGGCAGGTGCCAAGTGACATCTCTAATTCATAAGCCTCCTACCAAGAGTGTCCTGCGGTGACGCCCTTGGAGAGGCTTTCTTCAGCTAGCTTATAATCTATGTCATGACATCTCTTATTGTTGTTCTGCCCAAATCATCACAGGTAAATTGGGGATGTGCTATGTGATCTAGTAATCAGTCACTGAACCCAAGCTTGACTTAAATTCTAATAGTAGAGGCAAAATGATTGAGCGTAAGCAATGGTGAAACAATGCAATAAATAGCCATGTGTCAGTATTGCATCAAAAAAGCAATGCATTGCATCGGCATTGCATCAAAAAAGCAATGCATTGCATCGGCATTGCATCAAAAAAGCAATGCATTGCATCGGCATCTTATTGGAAAGCGATGCAAACCAATGCCACCAAATTATAGTGCATCACATCACATTGCTTTGTGAATGCAATACTGATACACTGTATCAAAGAATCTGATGCAGGCAATGTGATGCGGGGCCCCGCATTGCTCTCGCAATGCAATGTGATAAAGGCCCAATACAATGCAATACCTATGCATGCATTGCATCAGTTACATCATTGGCGTAAGGGGGTTCATGTTGCACCAAAACCGTTGCTGATGTCAAACAAGGTTTGCTTGCTGATTAGAGATGGCCCAGGCGCATCCAGATATCCAGCTGCTTTTTCCAGGGAGACAGCCTTCCACAGCCGCATCCGCAGCCGCTGGCAGGTATCTTTGGATACCCACCCTTTAAAGGGCCGGCAAGGCACTGGCTGGAAGGGTTTCCTTCCAGCCGGCAAGGTAAATCCTTGCCAACTGGAAGGGTTTCCTTCCAGCCGGCAAGGTACATGCTTGCCTACTGGAAGGAAACCCTTCCAGTTGGCCATGTACCTTGCCAACTAGTTGGCAAGGATGTACCTCTCCAACTGGGAGGATCTTGCCCGTTCAAAGGAAACCCTTTCAGACGGCCATTGGCCTCGGTATCCCTGGGGATACCCAGATATCCGCCGGCAAGGCACTGGCTGGAAGGGTTTCCTTCCAGCCGGCAAGGTAAATCCTTGCCAACTGGAAGGGTTTCCTTCCAGCCGGCAAGGTACATGCTTGCCTACTGGAAGGAAACCCTTCCAGTTGGCCATGTACCTTGCCAACTAGTTGGCAAGGATGTACCTCTCCAACTGGGAGGATCTTGCCCGTTCAAAGGAAACCCTTTCAGACGGCCATTGGCCTCGGTATCCCTGGGGATACCCAGATATCCGCCAGATTTGGGGGGAAATGGCCATCAGCAGCCAAATCCGCACCCCCTGGCGGGTATCTGTTGGCGCTGGGGGTATCCGCAACGGATACCCTGTGACCATCTCTATTGATGAGACGTAGAGGGATAGTGACATTGACTGAATATCTGAATGATCATAAGAAGATGACGAGCGCATGGGGATATGAGCAGGGGAGAACAATAGAGTTGTTATTTGGTGAGGAGATGGACTAAGTGAGGCTGGCATAGAGGTAGTTGTGGGATGCTTGGTAGAAGCATATCTAGTTATAAGCATACAAATACTACAATACAGGATTTGTCATCTTAACACAACATTGGTTAATTTTTATCATGGGATCTTGCTTCTACAGGGGAGCTTCTTACCAAATGTTATTGTTTCCCCATGCATCAGCAAATTCCGGTATTAACAAGGTTTGACTGTAAACTTCAAAATCAGCAGTACACAAATTGCCCTGATTGGATTTCATGTGGGATTTCAGGATTTAGCAAACTGATCAAGGAACACTGCCCTACTTTTCTTGGGGTGAATAAACACCCATCTTGTTGTGCAAGAGATATTTTATCTACATCATTGTCAGGCTTCTTGATGTGTGGGGCATTTCCTGGCTATTTGAAGCTAAAGCTGGACTGGACCGGTCACAAAAGAATAAAAAATGATGGTATTAGCTATTCTTGCCATCATGGAGTTTAGCTTTTTTTACCACCACTGGCAATGCATGTATCATTTCCATCCAAACAAGATCACCAATTCCAGTGTTAAGAATCAAACATGAATTTTCCTTTGCCTTCTTACACTTGTTTTGCTATTTTTGATGGAAAAATCCTCTGAAAACCAGAACAAAATTACATAGAAACTATTTCCACCCATCTGTACTGGGGGTTAGCACCAAAGGAAAAACCTCTCAAAGCTAACAGCCATATCTGGGTGTGGTATTATGTTCAATGATGCTATACTATTCCTACTGATAGTTGGAATGGCCCCACCTGGCACCATTGATGGAAATAGCATCTTGTGGCAAAGTCATTTTGTACAAAGGCAAAGGTGCTACTTGGGGAACCCTGAGCTTGGTCTGTAGATTTTTTCAACACATTCTGCAGTTTTATGGAAGCTTCTTTTTCAAGGCAAATACCGAGCTTTTGATATCTGATTTCTCAAACTGGCAAGGAAACGTGTTGTGAATCTGTGAAGGGTGTTATACGATTTTTTTTATCCTCCAGATCCCCAGGAAGGTGCACTGTCAATCGGGCTAGCTGCTGGGTAGTATTTTTGATGCAGAGAAAATTAAAAAAATTGAGCCAGTTTTTTGGGTAGGGGGGCAGGGTTGTTGTAATGTGGGCACTGACAGTTGTTAGCATCAAATGTTTGGACACAATGGTCCACCAGATTTTTCCCATTAGTTCTGCATTCGGGCTACATGGAGCCAGTCACAAGAAACCGGGCTTGTTTGACCCTTCTGTAAGCAGTAGTGTTGTCACGGTGGTTAGTGACTGCACTTTTGAACTTTGGTGATGAGATTATTTTTTATAACTTTGGTGATGACTACATAGTCTGATGAGATTATAGAGGATGATGGATATGCACTTCAACAATATTGGACAGACGAAGCAATTTGAAATCATTCGGAATCAAAGGCAAACTGGACTTTACACATCACGGCCTCAACTCCACATTTCCCAGTGCTCGTAGCTTGGACCATTGACGAGTTGCGCGATTCCAGGGAGGAAAAATGGAGAACTTATCCACCAACACGCCGAGCGGATCAGGACCTCAGCTCCAGTACCAAAGAGGTATTTGAATTTGTCAAGCTTCTCATCTGCCAGCTCATTATAAGATCCATCGGCTGATTTATGATAAATTTTGATTTTTTTAAGAATTGGTTATTAACGGTTTTACAAACCTGGAGCGTAAATACAGCTCGGAACGAACGTCTATTGAAGAAGACCCATGGTCTTTCCCTTTTAATCATCATGGTATGAACTCAAGGGAAGTTCTCTACGATCGGTTATTTTCGACCCTTCTACCTCGTTTAAAGGATCAAATCACCGCTATCTCAGCAACCCTAGACCCCGTGAACATGAAAACAGACCCGGTGGCAAAACTTAAGCGCGTCCTGGAAATCCAATCGGAACTCGATTACAACATCACTCAGATCGACTGCGCCTTTCTCGTCATTTGTCCCGAGAACGTCTCTGCTGATGACCATGCCGATGACCAGGGTCTCGAACAATTCAAGGCGTACAGGCTTGTCGAACTCAAAAATGAATTTACTTTCGCACTCAAGGAGATCTGCCGTTTCTTTCGAGTTACGTCGATGTACATCCAACAAATGAGGCCCAAGTTAAGAGGATTCTTTGGTGATATTAATATTTCTAATTGTGGAAAATCGGCCAAAGACGCAGTGTATTCGATCGAGCACACTATCAAACATCCCAGAAGATCTGAATTGGACATTGTCGCAAATAAGGCGAAACGTGCGGTGTGCCTGCTCGATGAACGATTAATCGATTTCATCAGCCTGGTCGACCCAGATGCTCCCCCGGGATATCTGTTACATCGCCGATTCGACATAATGACCCATCAACCGCTCATCCACCTCGCCAAATTGACTATACCAATCATGAAGCTGTCAAATCTGTTTTTCAAGAAACTATCACAACTCCGCATGAACTGCCAAGCGCCTCCTTTATTTACCCAGATGAATTCGGATCAGCTCAAATCTTTATGTGAATCTACCGAAAGCGTTGTTCGCAATCTCAGCGGACTTATGCATGAATTTTACGAAGTTGATGAGATGTTTGAGGATCAAGCTGTCGATTTTCGGTCCTTCACTCAGTCAGTTGAACAGATCACTACTTGCTTGGAAGGTCCATTGCTTTCTGTATTACTTTATCTTGTTCCCTTAACCAATAACCCTCGAGATGAGAATTACTACCAGAGTTGGTTTGCTGCATGGAACACAACTATTAATACCGCTATTCGTAAATTTGTTCAAGCTGCCAAAAACCTTCAACCAAATCATCTCGCATAGGTTTTCCCTGTCTTTGTTGGACTTTCTTCATCTCATGAGCATTTATTTGGTATTCACCTCAAGAAAACATTCTTCTCCTCCAAGTTTGAAATGAGTTTGTTTATTTTCTTCTTGTCCAAAGTTTGACAGACAAACTGGGGGCATGTGATGCAATCAGCTGATCAGGTGCTAAAACCAAGCAAGATGACTTACATTCTGCAGGAAGAAGGGTAACTGTTTTGCCTCTAGTAAAAGATTATTTTTAACATTGGCTGTTTCTGCCTAAAGATTTCCAACCTCAATTTTGAATGGAAGTTTGGCTTTGGTGTCCAATCCTCCAAAACCAACAAGTCAGTCATCATTATCACCTATTCAGATTTCATGCATCCTGACTCAGTTGCTCACCACCACTTGACATCTATCCCACCCAACTGACATCACCACCAGGCAGCCACCATGACCAAAATTGCCACCACAGATGTGCATCCATCCCTCCTAAACAAGCTCACCACTTCCAGTATCAGTGCAGCCAGATCTAATGTTGTCCAGCTTAAGATGATGTATTGAGGGTCAAACATAATTTTTGCCAACAAATTTGTGTTATTGAGGGTCAAGGAGGACTTTGGGAGCTCCAGTATATTGCTCAGAATCAAAGGGGATCAATGGACTGATAGGTAGAACACTCTTGAACATATTTTCATCAAAGAACATACAAAATAGAAAACAAAATATCAACTCCTTGAATATGTTATTTTGTGGATGCAGGCTAAGTGGGGTGGGTGTAAGGACTGCAGGTTTTTCACTGAGAAAGTTGGTGGGATAGAGGTCCAAAGGCCAGAAGTCTATAAAAAGAATATGATTTCTCTTATACTTATAATGATTGAAGAAGACAAACCTTGAGGTGAAGACCAGCTTAAAGAAGAAGAGAAAGAAGATCTGAACTACCATGCTACAAGGGTAATTGTACGATCATTGAACTATTGTCTATGATCATTAATGAAGAAGCTACACTAAAGCTCAGTTCATGAATGGACAAAACTCCTGCAGGAATTTGGAGGGTACATGAAAAGAATATGAATAAGAGAGTTGAAAATAACTGCTGAAAACTTGCAGAATGCCCCATATCTGTGCGTGGAATTACTTTCCACTTGGCTAAATTACAATCACTGATAGTTCAGTTACCTCACAATTACTCAAAGTGGCCTACACATTGTTGATACCAATTTTATCTAAAAAGGCAAAGTTACAAACTTGGGCTGGGTCTGTAGATTCTGTTTTAAGGGCAATCCACCATTTTTTTGGGGGTTTTTCTTTCAAAGCCACAAAATTCATTCCTCCAAATTGAACACATATCTATTACCCATGGGACTCCCACTTCTAAGATCTCAATTCTCAAAGTGGGGAGGAAAGGTGAGTACAGGATTGTGCAGAGTATGGGATGATTTTTTTTCTTCTCATTCAGATTGGGGAGGAGTCGATGTGTTCAATTTTGGCTATGCTAGCTTGTGTTTTGATGGAGAGAACATTGAGGAAGCTTGAAGGGGTTTTTTGGGGGGTGTGGGGTGGGGTGGGGGGGCTATGTGATATGGTTTGTGGCAGCAACAAATGTTTGGACTTTGGCCAGTCCTGCATTCAGGCTATGGAGCCAGCCAGCCAGAAACCAGTTGATTGGTCAAAAGTTTTGAGATGATGATACACAGCTGTACATAAACTAGTCTCAATTCGCTCAAATCTTCTCAGACGAACAGGTAACACGATATGGAATTGGAAATTCAAGTTGGTCCGTCTAGACTCAAGTTCCAAGATCAAGCCCTTGCACTTCATTCGGCACTTCTCCTGTGTGCAGCCAGGACCATCCCGAGACCACCGTTATGGAGGAAACATGAAGAATTCAACCACTAGAACGTCGGACGGATCGGGAGCACAGCTCCAGTACCTCGGAGGTATTTGAGCATGTCCAGCTTTCCATCTAGCAAGACTCATAGACTGACTCATATGAAAACCGCTCCAAACCCCTTCTAGAATTAGTCATACAGGGTTTCACAAACTTGGACCATAAATATGGCAGGCAACGGACGTCTACTCGAGAAGCACCCTGGACCCATCCTGTCAATGAAGTGAACTCGAAGGAAGTTCTCTACGAACGGTTACTTTCGACCAATCTACCTCGTTTAAAGGATCAAGTCTACACTATCTTAGCAACGTTGGAGCCCGTGAGCATGAAGGAAAACCCCGAGTCAAGCCTTAGGCGCGTTCTGGAGATCCAACCAGAACTCGATTACAACATCACTCAAATCGACTCTGCCTTTCTCCACCTCTGTCCGGAGTCCTCGTCTGCATGCGACCAAACCGATGACCAACATCTCAAACAATTCAAGGCGTACAGTCTTGTCGAGCTCAAAAAGGAATTTGTTTTCGCACTTGACTGGATCTGCTCTGCCTTTCGAGCCGCTCCCGAGCACATCAAAGATATGAGGCTCTCAACAGGGGGATGCTTTGTGGATGATGAATTTGATATGTCTGGTCACAAAGAATATACCGAAAAGGCAGTCTATTGGATCCAGCACACTATCATACACTCCCAAAGATCTGAGATGGATGCGATCGAAGAGCAGGGGAAAAGTGGGGTTCGCACGATTGATAGTCTACTAATCGATCTCATCAGTCTGTTCACCCCAACTGCTCCGATGGGATTTGCCCAACTCTCCCCATTGAGACGTCAATCTTTCATCGACCTCGCCAAGTTGACAGTACCGATCATGAAGCTGTTGAAGTTATTTTTCAAGAAACTATTCCACATCGGCATCAACGGTTGCAGAGCGTTCGTATCATATACACAGATGAACTCAGAACAACTCAAATATTTATGCCAATCTTCTGAAAAAGTGAATGGCAAACTCAGCTCATTTATGTATAACTTGTCGGATGTGGATACGGAGTTTGGCGATTTGCCTGTCGACATTCGATCGCTCGTTCAACCACTGGAACAGATCGCTAGTTATCTGGAAGGTCCATTGCTCTCTATAGTCCTTTATCTCGTCCCCTTAGTCGATAATCTTCCTGATCAGACTTACTTCCAAAGTTGGTTTTCTATATGGAACTCGCAATTCAATATAGCCATTCATAATGTCGTTCAAGCTGCCCAAACTTTTGACCAAAATCAACTTGGATAGTTCCCCTTCTGCCTTCATTGCATCAGTATTTGGTCTATTTTCACCACATGAAAGCACATTTTTTTCCCCTCAAAGTTTCTTATTTTCACTGTAACTCCCTCTTGTTCAAGAGAATGCTGTTTTCTTTTTGATTTGGTTTAGCTGCATGTTCAAATGTGAAATTCAGGGTTGGTTTTGGTCTCAAGATTTGTTCAGTGCATGCACCATTTTTTGCCATCTTTGTGGAAGGTTTTTTTTGTGGAGCAAGAGGGATTTTTGACTTCACAGTATGTTGTACATACACATATATCTAACATAGGGATCTAAAGACCACATTTCTCAAATTTTAGAAAAAGGTATTACACAGAACTTTGTGGGTATTACATTGATTAATTTTTTTACTTGAGGTTGGGCAGCAGTGAGCTGATCAAGGAATTGGCCATGTGATGGGTGGTGTGTTGATGGATAAAAGTGTTTTTGATTGTAATATGGAGGTCACTGTCAGCAAAAAATGTTTGAAAACATTGGTCTCAGCAGTGGTCAGACAGATTTTTGTGCCCAGGCCTGTATTCAGTAGAGATGGTCAAAGGGTATCCGTCGCGGATACCCGTTATCCGCTGGCGGATACCCGCCAGCGGGTGCGGATGGCCCCTTTTCCGCAAATCGCCGGCGGGTATCCGGGTATCCCAAAGGATACCCGCAGCCGGGAGGGGAGATGGCCGGCTGGAAGGAAGCCCTTCCAGCCGGCGAG